TCTCATACACATTTATTAATTCTGTAGAGACTAAACTGAAGCAGAAAAAAGGCCTGCATTATCCCTGATCCACTCCTCCATGCATTGTGCAGCTCGAACCAGAATTTTTTTTTACTCGTATGAGCAAAAAAGATTATAGTACAACAAAAGAGAAGGGTTATTGTATTCTCAGTTGAGTCAAATATTATAAAAATAGTCTGTGGCCTGCTTTTTTTTTTTCATAGCCTGTTTTTGCCTCCAAAGAAAAGGTTAAAATGCTCAACTCAAAACAACAAACTTTTAGTAATAACAAGTTTAGATTTTACACACAGGCTATGTGTACTTAGTTTTACTAAATCTGTCTCAATAGGACCTTTAAACTCTTCTAAATTCATGAAGCAGATAGCTTTGCTGCAGTACTAAAACCAGCCACTAGTGCTCTTCATAAAGGGTTGTACGTCAGAAAATGAACTCACTGCCTGTCCCGCAGGCCCAGGAGGTCCAGGAGGCCCAGTGTTTCCCGGGCGGCCAGCAAACCCCTGGAGGCCCTAAAAAATAAAGGCATACATTTTTTTATTTATTTTTTTCTCTTTAAGAGATGGCACTGATTAAAAAAATTATTTTTTTATTTCAACAGCTTCACTAACCCTCTCTCCCGGGGGTCCAGGAGGTCCTGGTTGTCCACTTTCCCCTCGCACACCAGGCAATCCAGGATCTCCAGCCTTCCCCTGGGGGCCTGGAGGGCCAGCTGGACCAGGAAGCCCTGGATCTCCCTGAAAGGAAGGAGGGATTTTGTGTCCTAAGGCAAAACTGATAAGCCATCTGACTTTCTGACCCTAGAGATAGAATCATGGATCTCCCATTGCAATAACAAATGCTGCTGTTTACCTTCAAACCTGGAGGCCCAATACGACCAGACGGACCTGTCTGTCCAACACCCCTCTCTCCCTGTAAAACACATTTTGTCATTACTTTTATTGTGAGTATTTTGAATCCAGATAAAATTATAAAATAAAGATTAACCTTATCTCCTTTAGGCCCTGGTGGTCCCGGTGCTCCCTGTAAATCATATATACGTTTTTGTAAGACGAGAAAGCTTTAGTATAATTTAAATAGGACTAGAAGAACAACAAATATAAAATTAAACAATGCAAATATTTAGGAAAAAAACAACACTAAAATCCATACAATGCCGATTTTAACCAATAGGTGTAATTACCTGAATGATTTATGTTATATCCTATTGTGCCTTAGTTAAAACTTGTCGGACAACCTGGAGTTTGAAAGTAGATTGGTGTTTTAATTTGGACTCTTTGTTCAGACCAGAAGAGCCAACATAGTGTGATTTTGTTCCTCTTCCTTAATTTACTTTGTTTGTGGATGGGTCCTAATATTAACTTGCCTTGCCTTTATCTTGCCCATCTCTCATAAACCACCTAAAATCACTTAGTCATCACATCCTGTCATTGGTAAGTGTTGCTGCTAGTGTAACTTTTTACCTGTGGTTAAGGCGGTGTTGGGAACGTTTCTTCCATAGTTTTAGTTACTTCTTGAAAAACGGAACTGAGTTAGTAACTATTTAATATGCAAAAATCTATGCACTTACTTTTTAAGATCTTAATACCAAAGAATTTGGATATCTTTCCTTTACTCCAAACTTTAAATACAGCAAAAAGTTAAGTTATGCAATATAACAAGTTTTGTATTAATTTAATGATTTAATAATTAATTGAGAGGATTACACATCTAAAATCATTGTATAATAATCTGCCCCATTCTGGTGTGTGATTGGCCGTATGAGTTGTAATATAATTATCTAGATGTGATTATGTTTTTGTTTATAATAAAAGAACAAGAAAACAAAGTAGATTTTTTAAAAATGTTTTCTGGCTAAGTACCAAGTATGAAGCTAAGAAAAAAACAATGATTAACATGCGATTCAACAAAATTGAAATATATTTTGCAACAGAATTAAACAAGAAAAAAAAAAAAATGGTAGGAAAATGGCACTGAATTAATTTAATGGGTCTATTTCCTAAAAAATTTTAAACATGAAATTTAAAGACAATTTCTGAGGGATTGAATATGTAAAATGAAACCAGGCTATGGTCCTAACAATTGACCAATTTGTGTGTTGGCTGTGTTCTTGTATAATGCATGCCTTATATTTTTCAACATACTCATATTCTCAAACCTGTGGAAATATTAGTCTGTGTTAGAAAAACATAGAATATGGGAAGATTTCAAGAAGTATGATTACTTTTGTAAGGTCCAGTATTATGAATTACACACACCGAAAAAGTGAGCGATTTGCAGTTGGCTTCTGTTACCGGAGCAAGATCTAATAATGACTATAATAAAGTAATTTTACTTCCAGCTTCCAAACTGTTTGCTTCTAAGCTATGCTGCAGCAACAATTCTAACTAGGCTTTATTTTTAAAAATAATTTTTATATCAAGGAAAAAGTCAATGATTAATGAGTTGTTTATGCATTTTTATAAGCTATTATAAAAAAAAAACACCAAGATAAACTAAAAGACTAAATTCAGGTCACAAACAAGCAGCAGAGGCTGATTACTTACATCCTCTCCAGGTTCTCCTGGTTCACCAGCCATTCCCTAATATAGTGAAAGATGGCACTTTGTAAAAAAGGTTATGAAGGCAAAAATAGGGCTGTGCTCTTTCACTATACCTACCGTGGCTCCTTTGATGCCAGCAGGACCTTTTTCTCCCTTGGTACCCTAAAAGACAGAAGTTTAAAATGGAGAAACCTTTTTGTGTTTTATCACTGAGACTGATCTTTAGTCATCCTCACCTTTTCCCCAGCTAGACCTCGCTCTCCAACCGTACCTGGCAGCGTTACACCTGGTGGACCCTGCATGAGACAGGATCAAATAAATACTGTCAGCTGCAATGAGCTACTGTTCTCAGTTATTATTGAAGAAAAAAACACAGCTTATAACACTGTATTTTTTTAGTTTCATGTTGATGCAATCACTGACTCACTCTGTCTCCTTTAGGACCAGGAGCTCCATTCACAGCCTGCAAAAGGGCAAAAACAAAAATGCTTTCACAGAATTTCTGCACAGAATATCTGTTATTGATAAGATACATAAATGCATAACTAAAAGCCTTATCCTAAAGCGCCTCAACACCCTAGTCAATACTCGCTTCAGCTCTTAAATATTAAAATATTAAAAGCTTTGGTATTTCCAAGGAAGGTCAATAAATGTATTCTCAGAACTGCAGTCACATAGAATAAAAATGACACACTCCAGTTACTTTACCATGCTATAAATTTGAGAGATTAGTTATGATGAACACATTGATAATTGATGTAAAAAAAATAACCTCAAACAGTAAAACTACCTATATCTTAGCCCATAATAAATATAAAAAGTGTCAAGCATAAATTGACAAACATTTTTTATTCAACCATCAAATTGATTTCTAAAAATGAGACACATAACTCTCATTTGATTATAAACTGCATTCAAAACTGATTCTAACCTTTCTTTAAAATCAGGGGGAAATATGTTTTGGCATTACATCAATAAACCCTAGACAGCTGCTGATCTTCCTTTTGCATTTTTCTTCTGGTGTTTTGATCACTTCTCTTTGATGAGCTCCAATTCTATACTGCCAAGAATGGCAGTCATCTTTATTATCAGTCTGGCTAGGTTGTGACAGACATTAATATTATTTCCAGTAACAAGCTATGTGTTTGGTAAAGAAAATGTTTAATCTGCTAGGTGGTTTTCAACTCACATATGTCTATCGGTATATATGTGTCTAATGTAAGTGTAAGGATGCCTTACTATTTTAGATTAAAGCTTTTCTGCAGTGAATAAATTACCATGCATGCTTAACAAGCCTTAGGGTCTGGCACATCCTTACTCTCAATTTCTCATGCTCTTCCAGTCTGAAATGCTCACGGATAAGATGTCGGGTTAGGGTTGCACAGTCACATTCTGTGCCAGCAAGTGATGTTCTTACCGAGCCAGACACCGTTTGTAGTTTTTTAAAGTTTTTTTGATGCCAAAGCTCTACAATGTTTCTTGTTTTAGGTTGGGGCTGATAAAAATTAAAACCTGTCTTACAACCACCTATTAAGAGGGTTATTTATTTAAGGTGGATAAATCGGGTTTTTATAAAAAAAAAATGATGAACCTTGGTTAGAATTAACAGCTTAAAACTAAATCATATTGGTTTACTAGATTTCTTTTCTGAGAGAGAATAAAAACTGCAGGGAGACTAGGAGCAGATGCATCGGAGCTGCCTGGTCATTTATCAAGCTTGGACTGACAGCATCACCATGGCTCTGTCCAAGGTGCTGAACCTGAGCTTGTTAACGGTTGGGGAGCTTGTCAAGACACATGTCACCACAATTCATGTCAATATTATGAACGGCAGGACAGTGACTGAATGGGGGAAAGTAACAACAGTGGCTTATGCAGACATTATAAATGTTTTGAATAAAAAGTGACCATATTTATTGGTCATAACCATAAGTGAGTAGAGTACCCAAAAAAATTACTCAGGTTAAACTCCACGACTCTGATGTTTTTAAAGTAAGTGTGAGAAAATATTTGTTAAAAGAGTTTACTGAAGTAGATTTAGATTTCCTTTATTATCATTGTACAAAGCCACATAGTGAAATTGACAACGAAATGTTGTTGCTTGGCTACCGGTACAGCGAGATCTATATGTAGGTTAGGTTCAAATAAATACTGTGGATGATTCAAAAAGTACATAAATAGAACTATAAATATAATAGAGCTGAGAAGAAATTTCATTTTTACTGCAATAAGTAATATAAAGTTGGGATCTGAACATAAACAATACAGTAAATAACAAAGGCAAGTATGTCAGCAGCACGGATTAAGAAAAAACAAAACAAAACTGGTATTATAGGTAATTAGTAAGTGATCATCATTTTGTCTATAGTTAACATTATGAAATAAGAGAAACCAAAGTATTATGTTTTGTGGAAATTCTAGTATTTTAAAATCACATTGTGCAATAGTTAGCCACTATTGGCTTAGCACCCTACAAACAACAGGCAACATTGTACAAAAAGAAATAAAATGAAAAAAAAAAAAAAAATTTCTTCAGTGTTAAGGAATCTGATAGCGCGCCACTTTCATCCAGCCGATAAAGATGTCATGAGTTACTTGTAAAGACAAGACCATATTTGCCCATTTGAATTAACTCTGAAATCAGGGAACCAAAAATATGTGTAGGAGGAGCTAATAGACATTTCTTTTTTTTTTTTTTGTTGCCTAACAACAACTTTTAACACTGTTAGCTCTGATGTTTAAAGGCAGCTCGGAGTATCTAAAGCAGTTTTAAATTCTGCTAAACAGATTTTCTGCAACTTTTTTTTCTATGAGTTTACAGGAATGATTTGGAGATAGCAGAGACTGGAACCATGGAGCCTCCAACACCACTTACATGTACTTCTCAACTATAGCTGTATATAATCTGCAAATATTTTATCTGCTATTATCTGTCATTATTTATCCTGTATAATAACCCCACTAATATATACATATAATCCATATCCTAACTTTCTTGTAAAATCTGTTTTTTGGTTTTCATATGTTCATTTTATAGCCTTTTACAATTACTCTCTGTTTATATATATATATATATATATATATATATATANGTGTTGGGTTATATTTCCCTACTGACCTGTTGTCCTGACTCCCCCTATATATATATATATATATAAGCAGTATACATAATATATATATATATATACTCTGTCATGCACATCTAAAAACATATTTATATACTGTATAGCACTTCTGGATAGATACGAACTGCATGTGTTTTCTTTGTACTTGTGACAGTGTAATGACAATAAAGTTGAATTATATTCTATTCCATTTTATCTAAAAGGACAAAGGCCATATGATCACAGACCCATCTAGCCTAGACTAAACTCTCCTGCACGCAGGAGACTCCTCTGCTTTCTTAACCTATTTGTATGTCAAGCATAGTTTGGGTAAGGGTATTGATAGTAGTTTTCAGCCACTTAATTAATTCATTCATTCATTTCCCCACGTGTACCTATTAACTTGGTTAACATAGTTGAGTTTCACCAGTTTAGTCAAAAGATTTGTTTTTCAGTTTCAAATATTTTTAAGCCATTAATCAAAGCTGTATAATAAGTATATATATGGGGAATAAATGTGCATAGAGTTATTTGTAGTTCTGATGTACATGTACCGTTTTAATCTTACCAAGGGTTGATTTTTTTCTTATAATCTTTAAAATTTGAGATTCCTTGCATAAATGCTATTTTAGATGGGATACTTATTGACAACTGTACAACATTTTTTCTTTTCTAAATTTTTCCGTCTTTTCTCTGCAGTCTATTTTTAACCCGTTTCAAAAATGTCCACATGTTATGGTCTTGTGTACCCATAGACCTAGATTGCCTGTATGTTTTTTTTTTTTTTTTTCTGATACACCTGAATTTCTCAGCTCTGGAACGATTTAATTAAATTTAACTCTTTCTTGCAGCAAAATAAACAGTGCTCTACTTTGCAAATATCAACACTGGGGGCTAAGATGTTTTAATCTGCATAATCTGCTGCATCTGTGTTAAAAGACATGACAGGTACCAGCAGTTAAACCAGTGCTTATAAGGAGCCATGAAGAATATTGGCAGCACTATTAAATGGTGTGACTCCCACCATAAAGTCCAGCAGAGGTAAAAGAAGAAAGCACACTGCTTATGATAATGTAATGACAATGCATTCTCTCTTTCTTTTAGACTCAACAAGTCCAATTTGTCTCTATTAAGATTGGCAGAACTGGCACATAATTGTCAAGTAAAGCTTGGTCTGTTTACAAAATGCTTGCAGTCATCAAAGCACGGACTGTAGACAGACACCATCATATACGACTAGTGTCATTAGCAGGATGGTTCTGATTTGGGGCCTGGCTGACACTAGAAAATAAGAGGTACGAGTTGTTTTGGGCTCATGATAGAACTGTCATGTTGTGATGGAGTCCAGTTAAATAGGTAGGCTATTTGTAAAAGTGCAGCAAAGACAAACTTTTAGAGCTTTTGGCAGAATTATAGTTCTTTTTTTTTATCCAGTCAAGGACATCGACCGTGTAGGAGAAATTATTTATACATTGATGGTCAGTATTCTTTTTCAGCACCAGAATGTTGCTGTAATGATGACTGAGTCAATTATGCTTTTCTTTGAACAACGCAGCATAACTCAAAAATCCAATTATTGTCTATAACATTATAAACCCATGTTAATGTGTTCTATAAAACAAAGCTGTTGCAGTAAGAGTACTGTGTCCTTGAAAACTGTTAGCTAACATAGTCTGTAAAGTAGCTATATTGACTATTAAATATAAATTGCAAATAAAGTGTATACATGTTTTTATACCCATAAAAACCTCTTGACATTGTGTCCCTTTATCATAAATGATAAACCTCAGTGTATGTTATTGGGATGATATGTGCTAAAGTATAATTGTCAAGTCTAAGCAGAGGGATAAGTCGTTTGAATTTTATTTTATTCATAAAAATAATGAATTGTTGGTTCAGTTTGCATTAAGTCTAGGCTTAGTCAGATTGGATTTAGAGTATCTATATACATCCATTTTCAAGTCTGGTTAACAAATGTCTGTTGAAATTAGGGCTGGGCCTTTATGAACCATACTAACTCAAAATATGCTTTGGTTTTAATTATTCCAGTGCTGTATGCTTTGCAGCTTCTTTTCTTTCACGATTATCCTGTATTTAGATGAATCTTCCAATAACTCTGGAGAGATTTTATTCTGCAGCAAACCTCTGGAGCCAGGGTCAGAATAAAAACCTGATTTGCTCTATGTAAAATACAGCCAAATAAAATTAGGTTTCTGTTAAATAATTTGGTGACTTAAACGCAGATAACGGACTTGCATTTCAGGATAGTCTTTCCTGTACAACATAATGCGCTTTATGTAAGAATTCGCCATAAATTTGCATTTCTTTCTTGCATCTGTCTTTATCATGTTTCATGTTTTTTACTTGTTCAAATTTGTTTAATGTTGCCTCAGAGGTAAAGAACTGCATGCCAAATAATACTTTACTGCATTTTTTCTGCAACAGTTAAAACACCAAGGTTTGCTCTGTTCCTTTCCCCTCTGCCTCTCGTAGAATGTTGAGAGGTGTGCACAGCTGTTCCGAGCACACCAAGTAGGAGAGGTAGTCAGAGAGCCTGGAGAGTCCATCTCTTTCTTAGAAACATTTAAAGCTTCTTTTTAGATATAAAAAATACAAAACAAAAAAAAAATCTGTTTTAAATATTTTATTATGAATACTATAATCATAGTAATTTTTTCATGAGCCTAATTTATTTTGGTACCACTTAAGACACTGGGTGTCTGAAGTGCATGATGCATGCAAGCGGTGTGTCAGTACTATCCATGATTCCCCCTTAATATCAATCAGGATTTTGAAGTAAAGGCTTGACATACATACCCCTCAATAACCTGTGCATTAAAGCTAAGAATGAGACCTATTTTTGGTCCACATTTGGATACATTTAGCACAATCAATTCTTTCCTTTTTAAAAATAAAGATATTGGATACATTGTATGTTTGAGTTGCTGTCCATATATCAAAAATATATATTCCCTGAAATACTTGGGGGATAATAATTAGTTTGTGCATTGTTGTTCTGCCCACAGCCATCAGAGCACCAGGCTTACCGAAGGGACATACTTTATTTGCATGTTTGCAGGATACTGTGCAGACAGAAACATGTCATGGGAACATTTAGCTGTTACTGGCTATGCACTGGTAACAAGATACCAACTTGATGTCATGAGACACAGAACTGGAGTTGCAGAGATTCACACAGTTTTTATATTATCATAGTGGGGGATTTTAACATCCATGCTGACATTGATGTTAGGGTTTCTGTTTGTGGGGATTGTTTTTGTGTTTTCCTTTAGTTTCTCCTTCCACCACTAGATGGTACCCCTTCCCCTTTTTGGTCCTGAGGGCGGCTTTTGGTTTTCCTCCCATACCTGCGGCTCATTGGGTCATCACCAGAGGAGTATTTGAGCAGCAGACTGTCACCACCTCGATGCCAGAGTGTTAGCCAGTATTGGGTACTCTACCCTCATGAGATTAGCTGAGTCGAACTCTTTGCCTTTGTCTCTCTGAGCCTAAGTTTTTGCATTTGTCTCCTTTGTGTTCTACGGTAGGAAACCCTCCTGATCCACTGGATAAGCATGGTCCTTCTCCTCCCTTGGAAGGAAAACATTCGTCTCACACTGAGCAAGGGGAAACCTTCATCTGAGCCATTCACCTCTGGAAAATCCTGTGGCAGTCTGCTCCTGTGCTCCTCTGCACCCAACTCAAGTCTCCCTATCCGCCCTCCAACAAGTAAAATCATCTCTGGACAACACCCCCACAAGCTGGACCCAAGGATCAACCAAGAACACCTTTATGTGAGTCATTACTGAACCATTCATTTGCCTTGATCATATTCCCTACGGACCCTGAACTCATCACTGTTACCTCCCCTCTAGAGTTTCTGGTTCCGGTTAACCAGATCGCTGGATTTTCCCCTGCTGAAAATCCCCACTAGTTTAGTCTCTCTGAATTTCTCCAGACTGCTGGATTTTCCCCTGTTGAGAATCCCCATTTGTTTAGTCTCTCTGATTTCCCGAGACTGTTGGATACTCCCCTGCTGAGAGTCCCCTTGTTTGTCTCTCTGGTTCCATTCTGCCAATAAACGGGTTAACTTTTACCCTGCCTCTGAGTGGTGTTCTGCATATGGGCTAACTTTAGGAACCCATCATGACAATTGAAGGTGATAGCTTAAGAGCAGCCTTTAATGTTATCTTAGATGCTATTGGCTTTGTTCAAAATTGGAATAGTCCCATACATTATCATCTTCATACTTTGGACCTCAAGGTCCAAACTATGAAGATTTTCACATACCTAGAAGTTCTGAGCGAGGAGGAGGAGGGATGACAGTCTTTCAGTCTCACTTACTGATTACTCCAAATTCAGTAAATAATTACAGGTCAGATTTGCTCTCTTCATCCTCTGACATGGGAGTTGGTTCGGAGCTCACCTTTTACATTTGCTTTTTGTGTCTCTGCTTCTGTCTCCTTGAACCCCAGTCGGCCTCGGCAGATGGCCTTTCAAACTGGGTCTGGTTCTGCTCGAGGTTTTTTCCTATTAAAAGGGAGTTTTTCCTCTGCACTGTTACTACAAGCATGCTTAGTGTGAGGGATTTCCTTCTAGTCAATGAGTCGAGTCAACTGGTTTTCCTTAGATATAAAATTGTGAATCAATTTGACTGTATGATCTGGTGAACTGTAAAGTGCCTTGAGATGACATGTGTTGTGAATTGGCACTATATAAATAAACTGAATTGAATTGAATTTGAAAAAGCTTTCAAAAGTAACAAATAACAGTCAACCTCCACATGCTGTAAATCTTTGCTGTGACCAAAGTAGAACAGGACAAACTGAGGTTAAGTGACAGAAATAACTTTCTTTTACAATGGTAGACAGAGAAGTTTCTCACCTTCCCAGGAGGACCACTGTCTCCCTGCTCCCCCTTAATGCCAGGCAGCCCTGGAGGTCCTGAAATACCCTGGGGAACACATTATTTCATGTTAACACCAAAGGTGGCTTGCCAAAACCAAGTAAGAACAACATAAGGCTATATAAAATAATCTTTGACTGATTTAGGCCCATTGTCTAATCATTGTATATCTGCATAAAGTGATAAGTTGTAATGTTATTATTCTGTCTTTTCTGTGAGATTTCATTGCCAAATGCATTGATTCTGTCACAGGTGTATATATGCAGTATACATATATGTAGTAAATATACGACCTTAGAGTTACGAGGCTCATACGACTACATTATTCAATAAAAAAGAAGAAAATTTAGCAGGGACCAGTTTGAGCTTCAAATAAAGCTGCATATGTTAGAGGCTGCCATCTGCAATCTTACAGAGCCTGTGCAGATATGAAATGTTTCTTTGATCTAACTAAAATGAGTTACTTTAAAGGTATAGTGCAGGATGTCCTTTTTCTGGGTGTATCATCTAAATAAGTGGTCCTCCTAACTGTCAATCATTCTGATGATATGTTTACTTAAGGCCTACATGCTTGTTCCCATTTTCATTTCCTGCTCTCGCACGAGTTTCATAGGTGTTTCTTATCGGGAGCGGGTACAGGGTTGTGCATGTGATTTTTTTTAGGTGAGGAGGGCGGGTCTTTTCAAAAATTCATGAGAATTCTCCACTATACCTTTAAGTTCTGCATCAGCCCTATAGGTAACAATTAGTTTGACATATGTGTGCTAAACCAAGAAAACATTGAAAACATGCATATTTTTAAGACTAGAGTTGGCCACCTCCATGCTAGATTGTCATATGTAGAAAGGTGAGGCTCGAGCAGTATTTACCTCAGGTAGCATGTCAACCTATGCAACTGTTACACAAGATGGAAGTATGAAAAATGCAAACATATATGTATACTACCTGCTTTCCAGGTAACCCAGGTAGTCCTTCTTTACCCGGAACTCCGTCTCTTCCAGGGACACCAGGCTTCCCTGCCTCACCCTGAGGAGGAGGCCAAGTCATGCTGCATGCCATCATTTTATAAATAGATACACAGTTCAAATAGCACATTTTATTATTTATCTTAGTCCTAGTTTACCAAATCCCCACACATGTTCTACTCATTTTGCTTATCTTATGTACCAAACAGCACGGTTGATCAAAGCAATTTCAAAAGCAGAATGATGAAACTATTGATCTCATGTAATAAGGGCATTCTCTATAGACTTGTTTTTAAGCTGCAAAAGAGCAGAAAATGCCACTGTAGCAGCCATTTATCAATCAGACCTTGTTACAAATGTTTTGGCATCTACTTTAATCACCTTCCCATTCTTACTACAAGAGAAATGCCTCGGGGGCGAAACATTTCTTCCACTTCCCATTTCCCCACTGTGCACCACACTGCAGTCAAAACAGAATTAAATACCCACCACCTGCCCCGTCAATCCTGGGGGCCCCTGCGGACCCTGTAGGGAGAAATAAACACATTGCTTTAGGGGAACACATCTTATGATATACAGCAGGAAGTTTTCAATGAGGAAACATGAAGGTGGTTCTCATTGATGGGATACTGGATTCATTTTTAGCAACACATACAACAGCTCCTGGGGGACCTGCTGGTCCAGGCCGACCTGTGCTCCCCTGAGCACCGGGAGGACCCTGTAGGGAAGCAGAAGATACTTAAATGAGGAACATTTATTTTACAGATTTAGTGTTAAGACTCTGGTACAAATGACATCTGCACACTTGGTACCGCTTAATGAAAGAAAAACCCCAAAATGACCAGAAAATTACTTAAATCTGACAAAAGCAATGATAAATAAAATTCTATGAACAAATGAACAAAGGAAAGCCAGATATTGCTTTCCAAACATGCTTTAACAGAATGGTGATAAAAAAAATAAACCTAAAAAACTACTTTTGTAAGATTCAAGTTATTTCTGTGACAATTTGGGGATTTGCTTTCATTAAACGAGTGGTATCGTACCAACTATTTTGTCCACAGCGTATCATCAAAGAGAATTTCAGTTGTCTTACCTGGATCCCAATGCCTGCTTCTCCTTGATTACCCTGCCGGCAGGACATGCATTTTAAACACCTTGTAAGTTTCAAATGCACAGAAAAAATTCTAAGCATACTGTGTATCTACCTTTATACCTGGTGGACCTGGCATACCAGTAGGGCCCATGGGTCCCTAATAAACGAAACAAGATATCAAACTGTTAGGTGTGGCCAGCAACTATTGATAAAAACACATCCTGTTTTATTGCATGTTTATACTTACAGTTGGTCCTCTCATGCCAGGCTCTCCTGGGTTTCCCTGGAATAAAAAGTTTAATGTTAAAATGTATATATATATATAAAAAACAAAACAATAAGGCAACTCTATTAGGTGCAGTTAGGGACACACCACATGCTAACGAAGTATCTGGACGTTTTTGAAATTGTAATGGCCACCTTACTAAAAATGAGAAGAAAAAATATCACAACCACTAAAATCTTCTAAGAATGCTCAGTGATGCTGCTGAGCCTCATTAAACATAATTCCTCCTTCATGAAATTATTATTTATTTAAGTATGGAAAATATGGATAAGAAAGCAATGACCCTACCATGAAGCCCCAGACACTAATTCTACTACTACAGATCTACTTAAATACACAGTTCACAAAGTCCTTCCATCAAGATCAGATAGGCGGTTACAGAATCGGATTCTGATCAAAACTATGCTTAGTTAAAATCATCTAATCGGAAAAAAACACTGACACAATAATTTGCCATTATTATATGAAAAACTATTCTGCTAGCTATTGCTTGCCATTTCTTATACACTGTTTCAGAATATAAGCCTCAGTTCTCTCATTGTACTGTGGTTGATCCTTCTGTTGCTATGCCTGATATATCACATACTTTACTGTTTCTCTCATGCAAACCCTTTTAAATCAGCCATTTATCTTATCATTTAGTTATTCTTAACTTCTCATCTTTGCCTTTTGCTTTCCCTGCATATGGATCCAAATAATTACAGAATGCTTAGACAGGAAGCCGTGAAATCTAAAGTACTAGTTTCTAGAAAATGTTACAAACTTAAAAAAAGAAGAGCATGATTTCAAATGTTTTAGTTGCATCTATTTTGAAGAAAATGTTCATCGAACCAAATGTTTGCCCTGTGGTGATTTTCAGAAAATCAATCATATCAGAAAATAGCTTGCCTCCCCACCGCCACTTAATATATGTACTTACGCCCAACAGGCACTGTATTTGTCACAAGGCTTTTGTCAACGCCAAAAAAAAAAAAAAAACGTACAGTAATTCCAGGAATAAGACAAAAACATTTTTCTATCATATGGCATTAATGCCATTGACTAAATTCTACTTGGTAAATTTAGTACATTTTAAATCTTAACTACTGTCTTTTTTATAATTAAGGTTCTTGGCTCTTGAAACAATTTCTAAGCAAATATCCAAATTAATGCTTCATGACGGCATCTTGAAGAGAGGCAGCTGTTTTAGAGCAGCTATGCTTATAAATTTCATCCCTTCAATAGATCACTGTGACCTTTTCTTCTCACTTTCAGCAGTTTGGCCTTTTCCCAAAAGATAACACTACTCATAAAGTAATATTTATGCACACAAATGTTGAGACAAAACTGTGAACTCTACATCGAAACGGACAATACTGGATCTTACCAATGTCATAAAATGAAAAACATTTTGACATCAACATATAAAAAGAAATATAAAGACACAAATAAAATAGGTAAACAACATGTAGAAGGTAAACAAGAGACAAATTAGGTTTGTGCAAGGATAACAACGCAGACAGCAAGCACAGCTTTAGCACGACATGCAACAGTAAGTACGTTTTAAAGCAGCCCCATCCCCAGACAAACACACACAATCATTGACACACACACTGATATACATGGGATCCTGACGAGGGCTTATCTTCAGGACAGTATTCCGCCTCATTTCATCTTCTCACTTATTTGTGTCATAAACAGTTTCCCTAGAACTTCAAACATTACCTCCTGAGTTCAACACAAGTGCCTTTGGGGACATTTGAAGAGGAACTAATCAAGGTCTGACTCTTATCCCAGCTGCCAGATTATGTTTTAAAATTCATATGAAATAAGATTAAAGCAGTCAAGTTTGCCCAGGAGTTACATTAAAGAGCTTGCTTTGTGATGATAGGTTGTTCATCCATATGTTGCCTCGGTTCAGACTCCTTGCTGTGTAAGCTGCAGCCCTATTTCATCTTGGTGACTGTGGTCCATATACGGTATCTAATGGCATTGTAACATATTTCCCCCCTCCACACTGCAGAGCTTAAAGCATGCCAGCCAGTAGCAGAGAACCTACCGGTCTGCCTAGAACTCCTGGGAACCCAGGCAAGCCCTGGAGAGGAGGAAAGAAAGGAAAAGGGGAATCGCAGGAGGGGTGTGGGGGAGACAGATTGGTGGAGGAAAGCATTGAAACAAGGAAAGAGAAAATAGAATAAACAGAGACAGGAGAGACAGAGAGTTAAATGTTAGGTGCACAGCTGCAATGGGATCAATGAAGCCTCGGCGCAGGGAGGGGAAAACAGAGCTCCGTTTGCTTTGAGTTTGCAGCCAACCCAGTAGTTTTAGTCTGCAGGTCAAGCCTAGAAACAGACTGGCTTTATGGGTTACTCACTGGCTGGCCTCGAAGACCAGGAGGCCCTGTAGAGCCCTGCTCCAACATGTCAAGAAGAAAATTAACAATTGAGAGGAAGAATACCTCTCCTAGGCACTCCTTATAATTACATCAAAACAAGCAGTCATAACAACAGAGAATTTGGGCCTCAAAAAACCCATATGTAAAACATCTATAGAAACTACAACAACGCTCCCTTGAAGCAACCTTTAATATATTCTTTGAAATTGAGTTAATTTGATGAAATTATGTGACATTTAGCTATAAACACTCTAAAAAGAAAGTTCGTATAACATTCACTGACTTTAAGAAAATAAAGCAACTTACCAAATCAGTGATAATCCATTATATATTTCTACAAGCTACAACCACAAGCTTTAAATAATGAAGATGCAAAATTGAGTAATAGAAAGTCATCTTCACAACTTCACATTAAGTCCTCGACTTACTGGTTTCCCCTCCTGTCCAGGTTTTCCAGGTTCTCCTGGGATGCCCTGGAATAACAAACCATATTTTGCAAATTCACAATTTTAGCTGTTTATTTCTGTGATTTTTCACTGCAATATTTTATAGAGTTTAAAATTTTTTTTTGCTAACATACAGTTGTGAGAACATAAAACAATATTTCACATCTTTAAGCATTTTTTTCGATATGCAAAACATGGTTTTTAGTGTATAATGATGGTCCGTCTGCTACATGTTCTTATTCAAACAGGGTGGTCTGGACTCCTTTTGCATATGCTACATTGCGCACCTAATCTAGATCACCCTCACACTCCTGCTGATTGCACACACATTTATCACCCAAGGCAATTTAGCACGGCTTATTTAAAATCTTTGAAGCTAAGGCACTAAGGGAATTCAGATTAGTTCACCAAAATGACAGCAAATGTCATTTACAACCTGCTGCTTTTATTTATAGATTATTGGCATTTTGTAACTTTTCCCATCCTATACTATCCTATTCCGTGAGTGAATGCTGAATTCAATTCAGCAGCAGGAGTACAGATTATAAATTTAAAAGCAAAAGTGACATCCTTGCACTGAAATAAAAAAAAAATCTAAACCCTTTAAAATGTAATTTTTTTTTCAGCAAGTAAAAATAGTTGGCAAACACAATCTGGTGATCATCAGAGGTAATTTCCCCCTTAACCAAATAATTACCCAGCAATCCCAGTCACAAACAGTCACAATAAAGAGCTTATAATAATGAAAATATCTATTTTCAATTGCTGAGCAGGCATTTGGACACACTTTTGTAGAAATAACTCAGGCATAATGTAATGCTTCTAAGCCTCTTTAAGGTTCATCATGTCCTCAATCAGACTTAAATCCAAAGATTTTTTTAAGTCACTCAGAGGTGGACTTCCCATCTTAAATGAGCCTTTGTGCTTATTTTGGAGAACTCCTAAGAAGGTTAACTTTTGCTTTGTGTTTTCTACCATTATAGATAATTGCTTCCACTGTTGTTCACCACCATCCCAAAGCCTCACAAATGTCTTTTAAACCTTTTCATAAGATCAGAGTCAATGAGTTTCTCAACTGCCCTTAGATTTCCAAACATTGCAGGATGATGTGTTGTTTTATGAGATATTTTGACCTACTTCGTGTTATCAGAAATGCTTTTTTTTGTTGTTGATTATCTTGTTTGTTTAATAATTTAACAAACAGTATAGATTACTTTAAATAGGAACAGGACAGTTTCAGTATATTCTTCACTTAATAAATAAAATCATAACTTAAAAGATACATTTAATTTTCTCAGGTTATCTCTCTGATCCAATGTGCTGTTTGATGTTGTGAACTAAATATTAACAAAAAAGATAACTACAAAAAAAATACTAAATCCAAAGTTTAGTAAACAATAACAATTCAAAAACATTAATGAACACAGTTCCAAACAATAACAATTTGCTAGAAAAGGTTAGCAACAACCAAATTTGAATAATAAAAAGAAATTCCTTGTAAAGTTTTTCTGTAAAAAAAAGAAAAAAGAATGAAATCTAATGACCCCCTTCCTCTGTCACTAACATTAAAGCGGTCCACTCACCTCAAACTCGAATGAACAGAGAGAAGCTCTTGGAAAATATCAGTGGGAGCTTAGCCTCATTAAATAGCTACTTTCCTAAAGGTTAACTTAAAACATTGTCATATTATCTTTACACCTAGCTCTCAATAAAACCAGACCTATTCATCATCTCACCCAGACTGTGTTTTTGCTACACTACCCTTCTATACCTCACCATTGAGCCTTCACGTCCTTTTTCTCCAGGCTCCCCTCTATCTCCTTTTTCACCACGAGGTCCTACATAACCCTGTAATATAATAAAAATGCATAATTATACATAAAATATCTACCAAGTTAATGTAATGGGACTTCATACTTTGATCTTTCTTACCCTCTCTCCTTTGGGTCCTAATGGTCCTGAAGAACCAGGCTCTCCCTTAAGTCCCGGAGGGCCTCGAAGTCCAGGAACACCAGGCAAAATCGAATCACCCTGCAAGGATTATGAAAACTTTTATCTCAATATTTGTTCTACCTTGACAAAGCTCTTTCTAAGTAAAAAAAAAAAAAAAAGAACTTAGGAGGACTTAACCTTTTGACCTGGAGGGCCAGCTGGTCCTGGTAATCCAATTAGACCCTGATAAATGGAGGCAATTATAAACTGAAAGTGAAAACGGTAAAAGCTATTGACATGTGTCTAACACAATCTACTTACAGCTTCGCCTTTGTCACCTTTGTCCCCTCTATCTCCCTTAAAAAGAAAACAGCAACAAAACATTTGATATCAACAGGCATTCTCAGTCAATGACCAAATAAATCATTTAGTGTTCAATTTATCTTTCTCACTTTCTCTCCTGGTCTTCCAGCCTCTCCAAGTTCCCCTGCTCTTCCCGGAACACCTGGTATTCCAGGCTTACCAGGCTCTCCAGCTGGCCCCTGGGGACCCTCTGGTCCTCGTTCTACAATGGCTCTTCCTGGAGGCCCTGTTTGTCCGATGGGTCCTCGCTCCCCTTGTTCCCCTTTTGGTCCCCTATCTCCTTGAAAACCACGGGGGCCCTGAAACACGGTAGGAAAAAGAGGAAAGAAAGAGGAAAAATAAAAAAATTTTAAGAAAACATCTAAATAAGTAACTTGATCTTCTAGCTATTTAAAATTTTGTGATGCAGTTTGTGCTTGAAAATTGAAAATTGTTTGTTCCATGTTGAGAAAAAATAAACCGCACTCCATCTCTAAATGTCTTCTCACAATTCTCAATTGGAAAGTCATCATTCCTGCACTGTGTATTAAATATTGGTTATCATGCATGTAAAAATATTTAAAACTGTAGGAAAAAAAAAGTCTTTATTTACACTTATGACACATAAAACACACATCCCCAAGTCTTCTTCCCAGAATTCACAGAACCTGTGCATTTTAGATGGGTCCCAGCTCCAGCAACCTCAATGATCGCATTACCTCTTTATTTTTCCCTGAAGTGTTAGAAAAGCTATTCCTCAGCCGTTTGTGTAAGTCAGGTCTATACTATCAGAGAAACACCTAAAACATGCATATTAGTGGGCCCTAAGGACCATAGTTGCATTCAGCGATTGGCATATTCCTCAATAGGTACTGTAAGATGTTTCTGAATACCATCCATTTGTGTTTAAATGCATAGAATGTGGAGACGTCTTTTGATTAGCCTGGGGTGCTAAGTATTGTGATGAGTGAGGTGTGAAGGCAAATCAATCAAGCTTGTATACCGTTGCATCTATGTTGCAAACTCTGAATTAGAAAGACTAGAGGAAGCAGTTCTTTTATATTGACAGTGTTGGCAAAAAAAAAAAAAATCTGTGCTGTACAGCATGGCGACAGGGAAAAATTATACTACAAAGCTTTGCAAAATTTTTGGTGAGCACTGTGAGAATTCAATAAAACATGTATTTTACTTACGGTGCACTAACAGCACTAAATAAATATTAAACAGCACATTCATGAATCTAGATTGTGTTGACCAGGTCTGCTTTAAAAAGTGAAGAAAATAAAA